CCCCCCAGCCACCCTTGAGCCTTCTGTGTCTCCCTCCCTGAGCCCCCTGAGCCCCTCAAGCCCCCTGTGTGTCCCCTTCATGTCCCCTACCCAGACCACCCATAATCCTCGCAAGCCCCCCCAGTCCCGCTGTCCCCCCACCCCTCACCAATATCCGTGTGCTCCCGGCCCAGCGCCGCCAGTGTCAGGAACAGCAGCTCCCGGTAGATGCTCCTGGGGGGGGCAGAAAAGGCCATGAAGGGAGGGTGGGGGGTCCAGGGGGGTTCCAGGGCATCCCTGAGTACCTGTGCAGGGTCTGGGGGGCTCCGGGGGCTGCGAGGGTCTCGAGGAAGAGCCCGATGGCCTTGTGCACCTCGTTGAGCCCCACGTGGGTCAGCAGGGCCTCCAGGAAGGACAGTGAGAATGGGGGGGCTGGGGGGCCCCAGGGGCGCAGCCGGGGGGGCACGTTACCTGGGGGACCCCAGAGTGTGACCCCAGAGCAGCCCCAATGTCCCCAGACCTCGAAAATGGGGGACACAGGGACCCTCAGGGGCTCAGCCAGGGTCCCCAAAGTGTGCTCAGTGTGACCCTGGTGTGACCCCAGTGTCCCCAGAGTGACCCCAGAGTGTCCCCAGTGTCCCCAACCCACCAGGGATGGTACCCAAGGGACCCAAAAGTGTGCTCAGTGTGACCCCAGAGTGCCCCAGTGTCCTCACACCCCCCAGAAGGGGTGGCCTTGGGACCCCCAGGGGCACAGTGATGAGGGGACGTTACCTGGGGAGACCCCAAACTGTGTCCCCAGCGTCCCCAGACCCCCAGTGATGTGCCCCCGTAGGTGTGTCCCCAAGGTGTTCCCGACTCCCCTCTTTGCCCCCCACCAATGCCCTCCTCCCTCCACCCTCTGGGGGACCCCAAACATCCCCGTGCCCCCCATTCCTGAGCCCCCCCTGTCTCCTGGAGCCCCCCAGTGCCTCCCACCCCCCTTCTGTCCCCCCCTCACTGTGGAGCCTCCAGAGCACGTAGAGGGGGGGGCAGCTCTCAGAGTCAGGGGTCAGGACGTCCCACAGGAGTCGCACTCGGACCCGGGGGGGCTCGGGGGACTGGGCCTGTGGGGGGGAGAGTGGAGCTGGGACCCCCCAAACCCCTCAGAGCCACCCCCAACCCCTCAGAGCCACCCCAAAAGCCACTTACAGCTACACCAAACTCCTCAGAGACCCCCAAAAACCCTCAGAGACCCCCCAAACCCCTAGAGCCACCCCAAAACCCACTCATAGTCCCTCCAGAAACCCCTCTCATCCCTCTCAAACCCCTCACATCCCCCCCAAAGCCCACAATTCCCCCAAACCCCTTCACATTCCCCCTCAAAACCCACAAACCCCCCAAGCCCCCTCACATCTCTCTCAAGCCCTCTCGCATTCCCCCCCAAACCCTTCATATCCCTCCCAAACCCCTCAGATTGCCCCTTGCATCCCCCCCAAACTCCCTCACCCGCCCCCCAGCCCCCCTGGCAGCCCCCCCCGGCCCACCTGGGGGTGCCGGCGGGCGTGGTGGGAGCCCAGCAGCAGCAGGGGCAGGTTGCTGGGCAGTGCCAGGCGCTGGAAGTACCACACCAGGTTCCAGTATATGATGGGGTGACTGTCCACCAGCTCAGGCTGCGCCAGCAGCTCCCCCCCCTCGTTCTCCACCAGGCTCTCCAGCTCCTTCCGCAGCACCAGCGGGCTCAGGTAGGCAAAGGCCACCCTCTCGGAGAGACCTGGGGGCTGGGCAAGGCAGGGAGGCAGAGATGGGACCCCCAGGGACCCCAAAAACTGGCATAGGGGACCCCTCGCCCAGCCCTGGGCCTGGGGATGGGGGGGGACAGAGGTGGGACCCCCCAGGAACCCTAGAAACTGTGATGGGGGATCCCCTACACCCCCAAATCCCAGAGTCCCCCTTCCCCCTGAAGTGACCCCCCCAGCACCCCTAAATCAGAACCACGAACCTCCACTCCCAGCCCCTGCAGGGATGCCCCCAACATCCTCAAATCCCAGGGTCCCCCTTTCCCCTGCAGGTCCCCCAGCACCCCCCTGGGGATCTCTGCCCTCCATCATCCCCCAGGGGTGTCTCCTTGCCAGTAACCCCCTGGGGGTCTCTCCCCACGTCACCCCTCAGGGTGTCTCTCCCCCCACATTATCCCCCAGGGGTCTTCCCCCTCCCCATACCGGGGTCTCGGTGCAGCCGTTGCACAATTGGGGGTCGGGGTGGGGGTCGGGCCCATCCAGGGCGAGGCAGCGCCGGCGGTCACTGAGAACTGGCCCCTGCACGGGTGGGGGCACCGGCAGGGGCCTGGGGGAGCTGCAGGAGAGAGGAGGAGGGGGGCTCAGGAATGGGGGGCCCTGGGGGATGTTTGGGGTTCCCTGGAGGATGGAAGGAGGGGGGAATGGTGGGGGGCAAAGAGGGGGGTCGGGGACACCGTGGGGACACCGTGGGGACACTGGGAGGCTGTGGGACATTGGGGTGCCCCCAGAGCACAAGAGCACGGCGAGGGGGGACACAGCGGGCTGGGCCCAGCAGGGAGGATGTGGGAGGTCCCAGAGGGGGGTCCTGGGGGTTCTCGGGGATTCCCACCTGGGGGGCCGCCGGAGGTCGCGGATCTCGATGCTCAGGAAGGGCACGAAGGAGCGGGAACAGAATGGGCAGCTTGTGTTGAGGTTGGAGTCATCGGAGGTCCAGCCGGCCATGAGCTCCTCATCGAACACCAGCGTGGCACAGCCCGGGCAGCGCGAGCAGCTTGACAGCAGCACCTGCCCGGGGGGAAGGTGTCTGTTACCCTGGGATCCCCAAACCTGGGCTATGACCCCCCCAAACCCCTCCCAAACCCAAGCTCTTGACGCCTCCAAATCTGAGCTCCTCGTCAAACACCAGTGTGGCACAGCCCAGGCAGCTCGACAGCAGCACCTGGGGGGGGATTGTTATACTGCGACCCCCAAACCTGGGCTATGACCCCCCCCAAACCTGAGCTCTGGTCCCCCAAACCCTCAGCTCTGACCCCTCAAATCTAAGCTCTGCCCCTCCAAATCCCTCCCAGACGCCTCAGCTCTGGCCCTCCCATTCCCTCAGCTCTGACCCCCACAAACCCTCCCAAATCCCTTTCTTTTGACCTCCCCAAGCCCCTCAGCTCTGACCCCCAAATCTCTGAGCTCTGACTGCCCAAAGCCCCCTGGTCTGTCCTCCAAACCCCTCCTAAAGCCTTTACTCTGCTCCCCCCCCAGATCTGAGCTCTGACTCCCCGAACTCCCTTGGCCCCCACCCCTCACCTCCAGGGCAGGGGGCTCCATCCCTGCTGTCCCATCTGGGGGGGGCTCGGTGGATTTGGGGGCCCCGGTGCTGCCCCCCGAGGCGTCCGACAGGTCCAGTTCACTGGACACAGAGCTCTGGGGGGGGACGACACACAGTCAGGGGGTCCCGGGGGGGACAGAGGGACAGACGGAGGGACAGACGAAGGGACAGTCAGCCAGCCAGCCCCTCCCCACAGACGGTACCTCGGACGCCGTGGATTCGGGGCGTTCCCGGGGGCGCAGCCGGGGAGGTTCCGCAGGGCTGCGCTGGGGGGGCGTGTCCCGGTGGTCCCGCGGCTCCGATCCCCGGCGCTCCCGGGGCGGCTCTGCGGGGCGGGGCGGGCCCCGTTTGCCGGGGGACAGCAACTGCTGCAGCTTAGCCGCTAGCCCACGCCGCGGGGTGCCGCCCCCGCCGCCGGGACCCCCGGAGCTCCCCCCGGGGCCCCCCTCGTCCCTCCGGGGGTCGCTCTCGTCCGTGTGGAAGCTGATGTCGGACAAGCTCCCGTCGGCAGAGCCGGGGGGGCCCTGCGGCCGGGGGGGCCCCGAGGGCGGGGTGGGGGCTGCGGGGATCAGGGGGTGCTCCCCGGACCCCCCCCGGGCCCCCCCCTCGTTGCGGGGGAAGCTGAGGCTGCCGCTCTTCACCAGCCGGGGGGCCGGGGGGGGGTCCCGCAGGCTGCGCCCCGCCCAGGTGGTCTGACGCTGCAGGGGGGGGCGCGAAGGGGGAAGGGCTCGGTCACCTGGAGGGGACACAAAGGGGGCATCAGGGGGGTGACAGGGCCCTCCATCACCCCAACAACCCCTCCTACGGGGGGGGCTCGGTCACTTCGGGGGGGACAAATGGAGGGGGTAAAGGGGGTGTCAGGGCTCCCTGTCACCCCAACAACCCCTCCTACTCAGGGGGGCTCAGACCCTGTCAGGAGGTGACAAGGGGGGTGTCAGTGGGGTGACAGGGCCCCCCAAGCCTCCCCTCAACCCCCCCTACTTGGGGGGGCTCAGCCCCTGCCAGGAGAGGACAAGGGGGTGTCACTGAGGTGACAGTGGCACCCCCACTCCCTGCCTACTCAGGGGGTCTTGGCCCTTGTCAGAAGGTGACAAGGGGGTGTCAATGAGTTGACACGCCTCACACACATCCCCTGCATTCCCTCCTTACCCGGGGGGTCCCCGTTGCTGCTCCGCCGCTCCCGCTGCCGCAGGGGCTGCCGGAACTGGGCCGCCCCCAGCACCACATTCCGGAGTTTGGCCCAGCGCAGCCGCCCTCCCTGCGTCCCCGCTGGCCACTTGCTCTCCAGCACCGCCTGGGGGGGTGGTCGGTGGGGTCAGCCGGGGCTGGGGGGACCCCCGGACACCCCTCCCCCAGGGGTGTCCCCCCGCAGGGTCACCTTGTTGTAGTAGCCGTAGGTGACGGTGTTGGGGACAATGCCCGCACGTTTCATCTCGAGCAGGACGCGCACGGACAGCACGGGCTCCCCGTACTGCCCACACAGCTGCATCAGGATGCGGTAACACACCTGGGGGAGAGGAAAACGGGTCAGCACGGGACCCCCCCGGGCAGGGAGGGACCCTCAACCCCAGCCACGGGACAGAAGTGGGACCCCCCACACTGGAGGGTGGGAAAGACCCCCCCAGATCGAGTCCAGCCTGTGCCCCATCCCCACCTTGGCCCCAGCCCAGAGCACTCAGTGCCATGGCCAGTCCTCCCTTGGACACCTCCAGGGGTGGGAACTTCCCTACCTCCCTGAGCAGCCCCTTCCAAGGCCTCACCACCCTATCCAGCAAGAAATTCCTCCTCATGGCCAACCTGACCCTCCTCTGGCACAGCTTGAGGCCGTTTTCCCTTTTCCTGTCCCTTGTTCCCTGGGAGCCGAGCCCGACCCCTTCCCGGCTCCCCCCTCCTGTCAGGGAGTTGTAGAGAGCCAGAAGATCCCCCCTGAACCTCCTTTTCTCCAGGACGAGCCCCCCCCCCCAACTCCCTTAGGAGTTCTCCAGACCCTTCTCCTGGTGCTCCAGCCCCTTCCTCAGCTCCTGACCCTCCCCCTGGCACAGCTCCTGGCACAGTCCCCCAGCTCCTGCCCCTGCTTACACGGAGCAGAGATCGGAGCTGCCCCTCAGGAGGAGCTGCAGCCCCCTGAGGTATCCCCCCAGTCTCCTCTTCTCCAGCTGAACAAGCATCAGTTGCTCCCTGTGTGGCCTCTCCAGACCATTCCCTATCCTCGTGTCCCTCCTTTGGACACCCATCCCCACCTTGTCCCCCAGCCCAGAGCATTGAGTGCCACGTCCAGTCCTTCCCTGGACACCCCCAGGGTTGGGCACTCCCCCACCTCCCCGGAGCATCCCTTGCCAACACTCCCAGTGCAGATTTGGCCCTGGCAGGACCCACCTCGTCGGGCAGCACCACCTTGTGCTGCTCCATCTGGCGCAGGACGTCGTAGGCGAGCTGGAGGGCGCTGAGCTTGGCGGGGGCAGCGCGCACGTGGGTGGGCAGGTACAGGAACCAGAGGCCATAGCAGTGGCCCAGCAGGCACCGCGCCCACAGCTCCGGCACCGCCGACGACTTCTGAGCCACCCGCTGCGCCACCTTCATCTCCTGGGCACGGGGACACGGAGTCAGGGCGACTGGGGGTCGGGAACTACAGGGGGGGCACCCAGAGAGGGGGCACGGATTGCGGGGACACCTGTCCAGGTGTGATGGATCACGGGGACACCTGTCCCAGGGGGACACCTGTCCAGGTGTTGTCCCAGGGGGGGACCTGCCCAGGAGTGACAGCCCACAGGGGCACCTGTCCAGGTGTCACAGCTCAAGAGAACAGGGGACAAGAGTCAGAGGGGCACCTGGAGAGGGGGTACGGCTCACAGCGACAGGGACAAGGGTCAGGGGACTCTGGGACATCCAGGGGGGCACCCGGACAGGTGTCAAGAGTTCATGGGGGCACCGGGACAGGGATCACAGCTCATGGGGACAGGGACAGGACTCAGGGGAGGTGGGACATCCAGGGGGGCACCTGGGTAACGATCACAGCTCACAGGGACACCTGTCCACGGTGGGCACCTGTCCAGGTGTCAGAGTTCATGGGGGCACCTGGACAGGTGTCACAGCTCAAGGGGACACCTGTCTAGCTGTCATCGCAGGTGAACACCTGCCCCTGTCCCATCTCACACAGACATACCTGTCCAGGTGTCCCATCTCACACACCACCCTGCCCACGTGTGCCACCCACCTGTTTGGTCCTGCGAGGAGCGGGGCTGCTCGGGGCGCTGCTCCGGGCCTGGCACAGCTGAGCCACCAGTGGGTCCCGGGGGGGCTCCAGCAGCTCCGGGCACAGGGTGGGAAACCCGTCGTACCTGGGGGGGCACAGGTGAGTAGCGTTTGGGGGCTGGCAGGTGGGCAGGGGTCTGGGGAAGGAGGGTCTCACCTGTACCGCGCCGGGGGCTCGGCCCCATCTGGCCCCGCCGGCTGCTCTGGGGGTGTGATGAACACCGTGTGCTCCCCGCCCCGGGGGTCATCCAGCTCCATCAGGGGGGTGTCCTCCGGCTTCTCCAGGTCTGCCTGCACCTGGGGGGGCACAGGGGTCACTGGGGACATGGGAGGGGCAGTGGGACACACCTTGTCCTGCACCTGGCAGGGCACAGGGGTCACTGGGGATATGGGGGGGGGCAGCGGGACACACGTTGTTGATGCAGTTGTCAAAGAACTCGAGGCAGGGGTGGTGGGACACAGAGGGGACACAGAGGGGACACAGAGGGGACAGAGGGGACACACCTTGTCGACGCAGGTGTCAAAGAACTCGAGACAGGGCTCACGGTCGCTGGCGAAGGAACAGTCCTCGATGAATTGGGTGAAAAGCTGCGTCTTCAGCAGCTGCCCATAGAACCGCTGGTACTGCCGGTCCCGGGAGCGCAGGAACCCTGCAGGCACACAGCATCAGAGGCGTGGATGGGTGGGATGGAGTGGGATGGGATGGGATGGGATGGGATGGGATGGGATGGGATGGGATGGGATGGGACAGGATGGGAGATGATGAGACAAGATGGAAGTGGACAAGATGGGATGGGATGGGATGGAGTGGGATGCGATGTGATGGGATGGGAGGGGATGAGACAAGACGGAAGTGGATGGGATGGGACAGGATTGGATGGGGATGGGATGGTCACCACATGACCCCCCTCCCAGCCCAGCCCAGCCCAGCCTGTGCCCACACTGACCCTGCAGGGCGAAGAGGCTGCCGGCGTCGCGCTCGGCGGGCGCAGGTGCGGGGGCGATGGGGCGCAGGAAGGAGCGGTACCCACGCAGGGCACAGGCCATGAAGCGCAGGAACGCCGCCCTCGCCTCCAGCTCCAGCTGCGCCCGCCGTGCCCCCACACCCTCCGCCGCGCTCAGCACCAGCTCTGGGGGCGCCTCGTCCGGGGCGCTCAGCACTGCAGAGACAAGGGGGACAGGGTCAGCACTGGGGACACCCACGGGGACCAGAACCGGGCTGGGGGACACGGGTTGGCTGGCTCCTGTTGGCCATAGCACTGCTGGGAATCTCAGGGTTCGGGTGGTACCAGTTGGCCATGGCATGGTCAGAAACCTCTAGGTTTGGGTGGTTCCAGTCGGCCATGGAATGGTTGGGAACCTCCTGGTTTGGATGGTCCCAGTTGGACATGGTGCAGTTGGGACCTTCCGGGTAAGGATTTAGGGACAAACATCACCGGGGGGGGTCTCCTACGGACCACCCAGCCAGGACAACGACACCAATGAATCATTCTTTGAGGAACTAAGATACCTCCAAACCAATTGCCCTCGTCCTTATGGGAGGACCCCAGCCCTAACCCTAACCCACCAGACCCCCTCAGGACCCCCCAGGCTCCCCACTCACGCTCGTCTAGCTGCTGGGCCAGGCTGTGCAGGGTGGCCAGCAGCACCTTGCAGGGTCGGCGGGGCAGCGCACGGGGCGGCAGCAGCTTCCGCTCCTCGCTCCTGGGGGGCACAGGGCAGGGAGGGCAGGGCAGGCACTGCCCCCAGACCCCCCCCCGGGCACTGCCCACCCACCCCCCAGCCCGGGATCAGCACGGGACACTCACTGGAAGATGGTGTTGGTGTCCAGGTCGACGAAGATGACGTCGCGGGGGGGCTCGTAGAGGTCGAAGTAGCTGGAGTGGATGCCTACAATGAAGGGCACGGGGGCACACAGCACGTCAGCCAGCGCCAGTGGGCACAGCGGGATGTAGGGGCACTGCCAGCGCAGGGGGAAGATCATCTGGGGACAGGACGAGGGTGGTCAGTGGCGCAGGGCCCCCGGCATGCGCACGGGGGGGCCCCAGAGCTGTGGGATGAGGATCCTCAGCACCACTGGGGTCTCCAGAGCTGTGGGACCAGGATCCCAGTGCTGTGGAACCAGAATCCCAGTGCTGTGGGACCCCAGTGCTTCGAGACCAGGATTCCCAGAGCTGTAGGACCAGGATCCCCAGTGCCACGGGACTGGGATCCCCAGTAACACTGGGGTCTCCAGTGCTGTGGGACCAGAATCCCAGTGCTGTGGGTCCCCAGTGCTTCAGGACCAGGATCCCCAGAACTGTGGGACCAGGGTCTCCAGTGCCATGGGATTGGGATCACCAGGGCTGTGGGTCCCCAGCCCCACAGGATTGGGGGTCCCCAGACACACAGAATGGGGGATTCCCAGCACTGCAGCCCCCTAGCCCCCCAGTATGCAGCCCCCAGCCCCAGGGGGTGTCCCCCGTGGTCACTCACCGCCACCAGGGCCTCTCCCACGCTGGTCAGCACGTCGGGGCGCAGCGAGTGGATGAGCAGCTTCTGCTCGGTGAGCACGGCCACCAGCAGGGCCACGGCGTTGTCGGGGCCCAGGTTCTGTAGCAGCGTCAGGAAACTGGCCCCACTGAGGGGGGATGTCACCAGGCTGCCCCATGGCCCCCCCACACCCGTGTGTGCCCCTCCAGGATCCCAAAACCACCCCTACCTGAGCGGCAGCGGGGACGACACGGGCCGGCACAGTAGGAGGCTGTCATAGGGGGACATCTGTGGGGACAGTGGGACACAGTGGGCTGGAGTGGGGGCACAGGGACGGGGGGGGGGGTTGGGGAGCACTAGGATGTGTTGGGGGGCACTGGGGCCACACAGCCCCCCCCGAGGTGGCTCACCTGGACCAGGATCCGCGGGCGCTGCGGGGACGGGAAGGGCACGTTGTGCATGAAGTGGGAGATGTGCCTGTGGGCAGAGACCCCGACAGGTCACCCCATCCCCAAACTCACCCCAAAACCCAACCAAAACTCATCCCCAAACCCACCCCGAATTCACCCCAAATTCATCCCCAAATCCCCCCACAACTTCCCCAACCCCACTTTAACCTCACACCCCTTCCAGCACAAACCCACCTCAAATCCACCCCTAACCCTGCCCTAAACCCACCCCCAACTCTGCCCCAAACGCCCCCGAGCCCCCCTCAGCCCCTGCTCACGTCTCCAGGGGCAGCACATGGGGGCCAGAGATGGAGTAGCGGTAGATGAACATGAGGAACTTGCGGAAGACGTCGAAGAAGGGCCAGTGGGACAGGACGCAGATGCTCTTGCGGGTGTGCAGGGACCGGCCCGGCACCGGCCGCTTGTCCACCACGCTGAGCAGCCCCAGGCGCAGCGCCTGCCCCTCCGACAGCCGCTCCCGCGGGAATGCCTCATGGAACTGGATGGCAGCGCCGTACACCTGCGGGAGGGGGGCACAGGGAGAGGGCGTCGGCGGGGAGCGGGGCACGAGGACACCCGGCATGCAGAGATGGGGACATGCAGCCCAGGGCACTGGGGTCATTGGGCCATGGGGACCTGTGGCACTGGAGACCCCATCCCATAGCACTGGGGCCACGCAGAGCTGGGGACCTCCATCCCATGGCACTGGGGACCCCAGGCACTGGGGACCTGTGGCACTGGGGACCCCCATCCCATGGCACTGGGAACTCACAGCCCTGGGGACCCCCATCTCAGAGCTCTGGGTACCCCCAGCCCTCATCTCTGCCCACCTCCCGAATCTCCCACCCCCTGAGCCCCTCGTGCCTTGTCCCCCGAGGCGCCGGTGAGGACAAAGGTGGAGAAGACAGGCAGGGGGTACTTGGTGCCTGCAGGCCAGCTCTCGATGGTGGCCCCCATGGGCAGGCAGAACACAGGCACCGACTCGGGCAGCGGGAACTGCTCGCTGTCCTGCTCGGGGTACCGGCCCAACAGCCCTGGGGGACACGGACAGGAGGATGAGACCCCTGGGTCACCTCCCCCTCCGCTCAGGGTACTGGCCCAGGAGCCCTGAGGGACACAGGGACACAGGGATGAGACCCCTGGGTCAACCCCCTGCTCAGGGTACCAGCCCAGGAGCTCTGGAGGACAAAGGGACACAGGGACACATAGACACCAGGATGAGCCCCCCAGGTCATCTCCCACACCCCAACGAGGAAGGGGTGCCCAGAGACCCCCAAACCCACCCCCCTAAAACCTCCCCACAGTAAGAGACCCAATTGCCTCCCTGTCCCAGTAAGGGACCTCATTGAGACCCCAGTAAAGGACCACATTGCCCCCCAGTAAGGGACCCACTCCCCTCCCAGGAAAGGACTCCGCTGCCCCCCCAACAAGGCACTCCATTTCCCCCCAGTAAGGGACCCCATTGTCACTCCCCCCAATTAGAGACTCCAGTAAGGTACCCCCTTACCCCCCCGTCCCCAATAAGGGACCCCACTACCCCCCTCCTCCCCACTAAGAGACCCCAGCTTCAAGGGCCTGACAGGAGGAGTTGGGGGGTCTTCAGCACCTGAACTACCTTCTTTTACTTCCCAAAACCCCTGAGAAGGCCCAGGGCCTCCACCCCCACAAAATCCATCACGTGCCAGCTGGGGGGGGGAGTTAATTACCATAAAATATACTTTTAAAAAAAATAATAATAATAAATGATTCCAAGGTCCCTTTGGGGGGGGTCCAGGCCCCCCAGCCTGAGCTCCCCACCTGCCTCGTAGACCAGCGTGTTGCCCTTGGCCACGGCGATCTTGTAGCACAGGAACAGGGCGGGGCCCCACTGCAAGGAGGGACCAGGATTGGGATGGGGATTGGGATCAGGGGGGTCAGTGTATGATCAGGGGGATTGCCAGGCAACCCCCCAGACCCACCATGCTGGTGTTAAGGTTCCTGTCGACGCGGCAGAAGGTGTGGGGGGTGGTCTCCCCTTTGCTGGGCATGACGAGGCAGATGTCGGTGACGCCCAGGCTGTGGTGCCCAGGGGGCTCAGCCGCGCGCCGGAACGTCAGGAACGTGCGCTGGTGGCCCGGGGAGCCCGAGGCCAGGTTGGCAGAGCGGCTGTAGGGGGTCGTGTCCAGGATCTGGTAGCCCGGCTTGGGCCGGTCCTTGCCCTCGTAGTGCACCCTGTGGGGGACAGGGGTGAGGGGGACCCTGGGGGGCTGCTGTGACCCCTCCTCAGGATCCCGGAATCCCACAGTCACACAGCCCCAGAATCACCAAGGCTGGAAAAGACCTCCACGATCATCAACTCCCCCCTGTGCCCCATCCCCACCTTGGCCCCCAGCCCAGAGCACTCAGTGCCACGGCCAGTCCTTCCTTGGACACCTCTAGGGCTGCAGACTCCCCCACCACCCTGGGCAGCCCCTTCCAAGGCCTCACCACCCTTTCCAGTAAGAAATTCCTCCTCATGGCCAACCTGACCCTCCTCTGGCACATCTTGAGGCCATTTCCCCTCCTCCTGTCCCTTGTTCCCTGGAAGAAGATCCTTGGGATACCCCCTCCTGTCAGGGAGTTGCAGAGAGCCAGAAGGTCCCTCCTGAGCCTCCTTTTCTCCAGGATGAGCTCCCCCAGCTCCCTCAGGAGTTCTCCAGACCCTTCTCCTGGTGCTCCAGCCCCTCAAAGCAAATTTAGGGGCCCAGACCTGGACACAGCACTCGAGGTGTGACCCAGGACAGAGGAACAATCTCTGTCCTGCTCCTGTGGCTGATCCAACCCACATGTCACTGACCTCCTTGCCCGCTTGGGTATACCTGGGTCACGTCCGGCCGCTCTCATCAGCACCTCCAGCCTCTTTCCCAGCTTTCCAACCTCTCTCCCACCCTGTCGTGGGGTGCCCCGTGCAGCACTTGGGGTGTCCCGTGCAGCACTTGGGGTGTCCCCAAACTCACCCCAGTTCGATGAGGGGGGGCTTGTCCCTGCCGCGCTTGTAGCACAGGAACATCTGGGGGTTGTTGAGCAGCCCCGCGTTGAGGTCCACGGGGTGGCCCGACGTGGTGGTCTCGATGCAGGTGAAGCCCTGGGGCACCTCCTCGCCCTGGGAGCGGATGATCACGGCCACGTCCGTGATGGGCTCCGCAGGCCGCGCCGGCCGCGCTGGCTCCTCCTCCAGCGCCCGCGACGCCTCGGCCAGCCCGGCCACTACGAAGTAATCCACCAGCTGGGGGGGCTTCTCGTCCGCCATGTCACACCATCTGGGGGGGGGGGAACACCCTGGGAATGCCACCGGAGCCACTGGATCCCCCTTTCTCAGCTCCTCCCCCCGCGGTGCCCCGTGGAGCCGCCAGCACGGGAAGGGAGGAGGTTTCCGGTCACGCCGTGGGGCACCGGGACCCCCCCGGGACCAGCAGGGCCCCCCCTGGCACTGGAAGGCTCCCCTGGGTGGTGTTCAGAGGTGGGACCCTCACCCCCTGCCGTGGCACCCCCGGGTTGCAGGCTCACCCTTCGTTTGGGGTCCCCCTCCTGCATCTGTCCCCTGTGCCCCACCCCAGGTCCCCAGAGCCTCCTCATCCCCCCAAACCCTCCCCCCCGACCCGTTCCCAGCACCCCCAGCTTGCCAGGACAGGGGGTCCTTGGAGCCTCCGGGGGGAAGGGGAGGAAGGCAGGAAAGGGGAAGGAAACGGGAGCTGGGGCCGTGAACGCCCGCGTCACCCCCCAGGCCCCCCCAAACACGCGGGGGGCCAAAACAACCCCGGCCCCTCCATGGAGAGCCTCCCTAAACACCTGGGGGGCCAAAACAACCCTGACCTCTCCATGAAGAGCCCCCCAAAACACCTGGCGGGCAAAACAGCCCCGACCCCTCCATGGAGAGCCCCCCAATAGCCCGAACAATCGGAGGGGGCAAAACAACCCCGACCCCAACATCAAGACCCCGGGCAGGGACGGGGGGGGGCACCGTGACCCCAGGGGAGCCCCCCCGGGAGGGGAAGGCACAACCCCATTAACCGGGGGGGTCACAACCCCTGGGAACAGGGACATCCCCTCGGCTGAGTAGGGGTCGCAGCCCCCTTGGCCGGGGGGTCGCAACGCCCCGGGGACAGTGACACCCCCTTAACCAGGGGGAGGAGGGGGGCGATGTCACAACCCCCTGAGGACGGTGACACCCCTTGGCTGGGGGCGGGTCACACCCCCCTGGTGACGGTGACACCCCCTTGGCTGAGGGGGTCACATCCCATGCACGGCCTGGCAGGGTTCCCCATCCCCATGTCCCCCCCAGTGACCCCCCAGAAGGGTCCTCCGTGCCCGTGTCCCCCCCTGTGTCCACCCCCAATGTCGCCCCCACCTCCGCACCCCCCCCGGGCCCCACAGGCCCTGCCTCGGGCCCTGCAGCGCCCGCCGCCCCCTGCTGCCCCCCGGCCCGGCTCCCCTGTGTGCCCTCCGTTCTCTGCGATCCCCCTGACCCTCCCGGATCCCCCAAGACTCCCGGTTCCCGCCCGGTACCTGCGGCCGGGCCGGCCGGGCCGGGCCGGGCCGTCCCTGGTTCCGCTGGGCCGCGACAGCCACAGAGCGCGGCTCCGCAGCGACCCCTGGCGGCCCGGAGGACCCGCCGCACACGCCGGGGGACATCGACACCCCCCCCCCCGACACCCCCAGGTACCCGGGACTCCCCCCCAGATCCCACAGAAACTGCCAGGACCCCTTCAAGCACCCCCAAGAATTCAGAGGCCCCTCTAAGCCTCCCCAGGAATTGTGGGGACCCCATTGTCGCCCCCAAATAAGAGACCCCATTTCACCTCCTCCCCAATAAGGGACCCCCTTATCACTCTCCCAGTAAGACCCTACCGCCCCCCCCAATAAGGGACCTAATTTCTCCCTCCCTTCCTCAATAAAAGATCCCCTTCCCCCCCAGTAAGAAATCCCAATCCCAAAGGCCTGGCAGGGCCAAAGCGGGAGGGTCTGGAGCAGTTGAACCCCCCTCCTTTCGCGCCCCCCCCAAATCAGCCACGCATGCGTGGGGGCGGTTAATTAACATAGAATATATATTTTAAAAAATAATAATTATAAATCACTCTGGCTCCCTCGGGGGGGGGCTCAGGGCCCCCCACCCGTGGACGGGCCCTCCCCCCGTGCTACCCCGGGGAGGGGCAATTTTGGGGGGGGTGGGGGGACAAAGTTACAAGTGCTTTCTACACATCCCCAGCAGTTGGGTAATCTGGGGGGGGACTGGGGGTACATATTGGGGGGGGAGCGGAATTTTGCCTTAAAGATGATGATTAGCCAGAAAAATGATAAAGGCAGAAACTGCCCCCCCCGCCCCCCCACCGGGGGTCTCTACCTATGGGGTTTATGTACAGCCACCTCTGGGGGGGCCGGCCCCCCCCCCGCCGAGGTCTGGGGGTTCGGGGTCAGCTGGATTGCTCCCGCTCCCCAACATTCCCAGGGTTTTCCCAGGAGAACAGTGACCAGTGGGGGCAGGGGGTGGGAACTGGAGGGGGGAGCGCAGGGCTGGGACTCCCCTGGGGTTGATTTTGGGGGGCCAAGGGTGCCTGGATTGTTTCCCGTTGTCTCCCCCTCCCCAGTTTTCCCAGTTCTGAGGTGGCCCTGGGGCTTTCCCATGGGAACAGGGATCGACAGGACCTGGAGGTGGGAACTGGGGTGGGCAGTTGCAGTGCTGGACCCTCCCCCGGGCTTGATCTGGGGGGGCCATAGGGCTGAAGAGCGCCTGGATTGCACCCCTCCCCCCCTTTCCCGGGTGTTCCTGAAGAGCAGCACCTGCCGGGACTGGGGGCGGGAATTGAGGGGTGGTCGTGGTGCTGCAGCCCCCCTGCGCTCTCTGGGGGCGGTCGGACCCCTCCATGGCCTCGCTTTGGGGGCACCTGGATCACCCCCTTTTCCCTGTTTTCCTGGGTTTTTCCCGGGGAATGGGAATTGAGGGCGGATCTCATTGCTGGAGCCCCCCTCGTGCTCACTGCAGACCCCTCGATGGCCACGTTTTGGGGCCACCCGGCACCCCCCACGCTCCCTTTTCCAGTCTCAGCGGGAGCGCAGCGGGCGGCGGGGCCGGGGGGCGGCCCCGGGGGCGGCGCCGGGGGTCGCAGGGGGATCCCTGCGGCGGGGGGGGGCCTGCCGGGCTCACTGCAGGCGGTCGGAGCGGAAGGAGTCCTCGACGGCGGGGTCGGTGAGCAGCGCGCAGGGGTCGCTCAGCATGCTCAGCCCGTCCAGGGTGAGGGGCTCGATGCGCAGTTCCTCCTCCAGCCCCCCCAGCCCCCCCAGCGCCCCCCCCTCCACCTCGAAGCCCGGAACCCCTGCCAGCGCCGTTGCGATCTCCTTCGACAGCCCCGGTGGAGAGTCGCCTGCGGGGTGGGGGGGACGACAGGGGTGTCAGTGCGGCCCCAAGAGGGATGGGGGGGCCCACAGAGACTCCGTGATACCCCCAGAGACTCCAGGGCACACACACGCCCCGTGACACCCCACGGACCCCCTGTGACACCTCACGGACCCCCAATCCACCCATCCACCTCTGATACCCCACTGCCCCCCCATCCCACCCCTCCATGACAACACTCAGAGCCCCCATCCCATCCACCCCTCCATGATGCTCCCCAGCCCCCTCACCTGTGAAGATGATGTTGGGGATGGGCCCGTGGCGGCTGCAGTTGCTCAGGTTTGGGCGGTTCAGGGCAGGGGGGTCGTAGCCCCCCTCGCTCAGGGGGTAACTCAGGGCCCCCAGGTCGTCGGGGAACCCTCCGCTGTTCCCGGGTGGGCTCTCCCCCATCCCGAACTGCTCCAGCTGCGGAGAGAGGAGGGTTAGGGGTGGCCTCCCTGGAGTGTCCCCTGTCCCCATGTCCCCCCCAGTGACCCCCATAGTAAGCCCCCCCCGAGTGTCTCCTGTCCCCATGTCCCCCCCAGTGACCCTCCAGAGTGTTCCCTGTCCCCATGTCCCCCCCCAGTGACCCCCCTGGAGGGGTCCCCCATCCCCATGTTCCCCTCAATGACTCTGAGGGTCCCCATTGCCATGACCCCCCCCAGTGACCCCCCAAGGGTCCCCATTCCCATATTCCCCTCGGTAACCCCATGGAGTGTCCCGATGTTCTCTCCATGCCCCCCCCCGTGGGTCAGAGCTGTATTAGGGGTTCCCCCCTTTACCCCACTCCATGCCCCCCACACTCACACTGCCCAGGCCGAAGTCTCCGGGGGGCTGCGCCAGGGGCTGCCCCAGGGAGGGGCCAGGGGGAGGGTAGGGGGGGCCGTAGGGGCGCGGGGGGGGTGCGGGTGGCCGCGGGGGGGGTTGGGACCCCAGCAGCACCCCGGGCTGGCCGTAGGGGTACGGTGGGAGCCGCTGCTCCGGCAGCTTCGTGGTGTCCAGGGGCACCCCCTGCAGAGAGAGGAGGGGGGGTCAGCGGGACACCCCCACTTTGGGGGGCTCCACTGGCCCCCCCCGGGGCTGCTGGCACTGAGACTCCCGAGCTCACCCCTGGCTGCGGGGGGGGCCCGGGGGGGTCCCCATGGCAGGGGGGTGGCTGGGAGGGACATGGAGTGTTCCCCCAATGTGGGCAGGGCTGGGGGTTCTGAGGGGCAAGAGGGGCCCTGGGGGTGAGTGAGATGAGGATGGAAACAAGGTGAGAGGAGTGAGGGGGAGGAGGAAGACAAGGAAGACAAGAAGAGGGGGACGAGGAAGAGGACAAGAAGGATGAGAGGAAGATAAGGAGGAGGAAGAAGAGCAGGACAAGGATGATGGGAGGAAGATGAGGAGGAGGACCGGGGAAAAGGAGGACACAGAAAAGGGTAACAAGGAGGAGGAGGAAGAGAATGAGGAGGAGAAAGATAAGGGAGAAGGAGGACAGGGAAGAGGATGGAAAACAGGAGGATGAGGTGGGGGATGAGGAAGAGTACGAAGAGGGCAATGAAGAAGGGGACAAGGAAGAGGAGGACAAGGGGACTGAGGAAGAAGAGGAGAAGGAGGAAGACAAAGAGGACTAAGAAGAGAAAAACAAGGAAGGAGGCGGACAAGGATGAGGAAGATGAGGTGGGGGACAAAGAAGAGGAGAATGAGGGGAATGAGGAAGAGGGGGAGGAGGAGAGGGATGAGAAGGAGACCAAGGAGGAGAAGGAAGAGGGGGGTGAGGAGGAGGAGGATGAAGAGGATGAGGAGAAGGCGCGGCGATGGAGCCATGCATACCTGGGTGATGGAGGACAATGTGGGTGACATTGTTGGTGAGAACTGTTTGGGGTGCTGCCGTCTGGAGTCACCAGCCACGGGCAGGGACAGGGGGCTGAGCGGGACCCGGCGCCGGGGAGACGTGGTCCCAAAGGAGCCCCCCAGCCCCGAGGGCAGGCTGGGGTTGCTGGGCGAGGATTGGAGGGGCTGGCTCCGGGGGGACGTGGGCAGGGATGGGTTGGACAGCGAGGAGGACAGGGACGAGGGCAGGGACTGGTTGGACAGTGAGGAGGGGATGGAGGAGCTGCTGTGGGAGGACTGGAGAGAGGGGTTGCTGAGGGAGGCCTGGAGGGAGGGGCCGCGCAGGGAGGCCTGCAGGGAGGCCTGCAGGTTGGGGTTGCTCAGGGAGGACTGCAGGGACGGGTTACTCAGGGAGCTCTGCAGAGGTGAGGGGAGTCCTGTGGGCACAAAAACAGAGAGCATGTTACCCCCCAGCATGGCCCCATGCCCGGGGAGGGGCCTGAGGGGCTCCCCGGGGGGAGGGAAGGACCTGGGGGGCTCCCCAGGTGGAGGGAGGGGGATGGAGCCACCAAAACCATGGAGATGGACACAGCGATGGACACACTCACCTGGGGAGTCGTAGCCCAGCCCCCCCTGTGCCCCCCCCACTCACCTGGGGGGTCTCTGAGCTCCCATGTGCCCCCCCCACTCACCTGGGGGGTCTCTGAGCTCCCATGTGCCCCCCCACTCACCTGGGGGGTCGTAGCCCAGCCCCCCCGTGCCGGTGCCGCTGATGCCCAGGTGGGTCATGGTGGTGGCCAGGTTGGAGGTGCTGCTGCCCCCACTCAGTGGGGGGAACGGGGCCTCCTCGGGGTCCAGGGGGGTGGGCAGGGGGGATGGGAAGTGCAGCGTGGTCAGGTCAGGCAGGGACCCCCCCGTGTTGAGGGCCGAGGGCATGAGGGGCACGTTGGCAGGTTGGTCCGGGGACGGGAACACACTGGGGGGGTGCGAGATGGAGAGAGAGAGACAGGGGGGAACAGTGATGACACCCTGGCACCCCCTCCCCAGGGTCCCCCTCCCCAGTGCCCCCCTCCCCACTCCAGCCCCTCCCCAGTGCCACCCTCCCCACTCCAGCCCCTCCCCAGTGCCCCCTCCCCGTTCCAGCTCCCCAGCACTCACTGGATGCCCGGGACCTCACAGGATCGGGGCCGTGCTGAGGAGGACGAGAGCTGTGGGATCAGAGCGCAGGGATCAGCCCAGGTAGGGCCTTGGGGACACAGGGGGGCACCCGGGGGGGACATCCCCATGGCCCCCCCCCCACCTTCTTGGTGTCCCAGGGCTTCAGCGAGTGCTTGTTGTCATCAAAGTTCTCTTCGATGGGAGGCACTTGGAAAAGAAACACTGGGAAGGGGGAGGGGGGTCAGTGGTGGTGGTGGGGGACATCACAGCCCCCCCGGCCCAGGGGGGACACAGCTGTGACCTGGGCTCACCTTTGCTGTCCGAGTCCCCGTCCAGGAAACCTGTGGGAGAGCGGGTGGGTCAGGGGGGCAGAGAGGTGGGGAGGGGAGGCTGTGTGACCCCCCCCCGAGACCCCCAGGGGGTTGGGGGGGGCAGGGGGGTCTCACCCGTGCGTCGGCCAGGTGGGGGGGCAGCCTGGGAGGGGCCCAGGTAGGAGTCCTGGGGAGGGGGGTTCATCACACTCGTGTGCAGGGCCGAGTCAGAATTTGTCCTAAAAACGGGGATCACAGCATGGATCTGGGACCCCCACCCCATTTACACTCCCCACCCCCATTTACAGCCCCCATCCTATTTACAGCCCCCAACCAGTCCTGTCTCCCCCTCCCCACTGGAGTCCAGCCCCATCTCCCTCCTGGAGCCCTCACTCCCAGGCACAGGGGACAACAGGACCTCCCTGGGACCACCCTGTGCCCCCTCCAGGGCTGGGGGCATCCGTTGTGTTCACAGTTAGTTGTCCCAAGGCGAGGAAGGGCAGGGAAGGGCTGGGAAGAGGCTGCAGTGACAAGGGACAAGGGGGACGTTGTTCGTCCGCGGCACAGGAAACCTCCCCAACCCCCCCCCACACCCATGGGACAGGGACCCCTCCCCTCATGGGGGGCCCTGTAGGGGTCCTGTGGCTGAACCCAGGAGTCCCCAGGGCCACCTTCTTCCCCCCGGGGGTCTCAAGCCTGTGCCCACCCCGGGGGTCCTGTCTGGGAAACAGGGAGAAGAAAAAAAACAGGATCAAACCTGTTGAGAGCTGAGGGCAGCCGGAATAAATGTCCTTTTTCCATCGGGAAGTTGCTCCAGGGCATGGTCCTTTTTTTGGAAGGGAGAAACAGGGATTAGAGGGGCCAAGGAGGCAGGACACCCCTTGGGGATCCACGACCCCATTCCCTGCCGTGGGAATGCCCCAGTGAGGGCTGGGAGCTGTGGGAAGATAGAATGGGACTGGGCTGTCCCCCGTGGTGTCCCTTCTGGGTGGGACAGGGACACACCACTCCTGGGACTCCAGGGACGGATCTCGAGCTTGTATTTGTCTCCCATCCCTGTCCCCACCTGCTTCCTCTTGGCAGGATCCCTATTCCCATCTGAAACTCCTCCTCGAGCCCCCCAGTTTGTGGGACAATCCCAGGATCCAAGAGGCAGAAGCCCTCACCCCACTCGCAGCACTGCCGCACTTCCCCCTGCCCCCTTCCCACATCCCAGCCCTGTGGATCCTCCTGGGAATGCCGGGGCCTCTCCTGCTTCCAAAGCCTCAGGATGGGCCCCCGGGCTGCAGGGAAGGGCAGTGAATGGCAGGAATTACCTCCTCCAGCTGGGCTCAGGCGGAGGTGACAAGTAGGTGGGTCCGTAGGGGGAGCTGTCGATGTGGGGGCGCGTTAAGGGCCACACTGAGAGCAGGGGGGCTCCCAAATCCCGTGGGACAGGGAAGGGGACCGGGATAAAGGAGTAGGAGCAGGGAATGGGACTGGGATGAAGAGCAGCAAATGGCCAGGATAAAGGAGCAGGAGCAGGGAATGGGACTGGGATGAAGGATAAGGAGCAGGGAATGCCTGGGCTGAAAGAGTGGGAATAGGGAATGACCAGGATGAAGGAGCAGGTGCAGGGAATGCCCAGGAGCAGGGAATGGCCAGGTTGAAGGATCAAGAGCAGGGAATGCCTGGGAGCAGGGAATGGCCAGGTTGAAGGATCAGGAGCAAGGAATAGCCAGGTCGAAGGAGGGGCAGCAGGGAATGACCAGACTGAAGGATTGGGAGTAGGGAATGCCCAGGAGCAGGGAATGGCCGGGCTGAAGGATCAGGAGCAGGGGATGCCCGGGAGCAGGGAATGCCCACACTGAAGGATATCTGGCGGACGTAGCGGCGCAGGGGGGACACCATCCGGCGGGGGTCCCGCTGCACCCGCTCCACCAGCCCGTGGTGCCGCGTGCTCCGCGTGGAGTCCAGAGGGGAGGGGCCCTGCGGGGACAGGGCCAGTGAGACCCTCGGGAATGGGGACAGTGAGACCCCAGGGAATAGGGACAGGGAGAGCCCCAGGAACAGGGAGACACCTGGGAAAGGGCACAGTGAGACACCCGGGAACAGGGAAAAGGAGACACCCGGGAATGGGGCTCGGGAGAGGGGGGGACAGGTGAGACAACGGGGAATGGAGATCAGGAGAAGGAACAGATGACCCCACTGGGAAAGGGGCTCAGGAAAGGCCAATGATCCCACTGCGAAGGGGGCTCAGGACCAGCCTCGCCTCAGCACCAGAGATGGGAGTGAGCTCAGGGAGCATCCCCTCATCCCCTCTGCAGCTCCAGCCCCCCTTCCTGGGGCTGCAGCCCCCCCAGAGCCCCCAGCTCACCTGGAAGTCGGGCAGGCCAGAGCCGATCTGGTTGACGTTGGGCAGGGAGCCGCTGTAGAACGGACCCCGCCCGTGGGCCAGGCGCAGCTTCTGGGCCTGTAGCTGGGGGGGCACGGGGACAGGGGGGACAGGGGGGACATGGGGGGGATGAGGGGACATGGGAGACACAGAGGGACATGGAGGACACGTGGAGGGGTGGGAGGACATAGGGGGATGGGGAAGCACGGGGGGACGGGGGGGGACATGGGGGGATGGGGGAATGGAGGGGACAGGGGGACATGAGGGGACATGGGGGAGACATGGGAGAGATGTGAGGGGACATGGGGGACGGGGGGATGGGGGAGACATGGGAGGGACATAGGGGACACACGGAGACATGTGGGAAGGATGTGGAGGACATAGGGGGGATGGGGGGTCGTGGGAAGGACATGGGAGGGATGGGAGGGACATGAGGGACACAGAGGGACATAGGGGACACATGGGAGGGATGAAGGGACATGAGAAGGATGTGGGGGACATGGAGGGCACGTGGGGGGACACAGGGAACACAAGGGGGGGACACAGGGAACACAAGGGGGGGACACACAGGGGCACGTCAGAGGGGGCTGCGCAGGGGGCCGGGGGGGTTAGAGCCCCCCAAATCCCCCCTCACATCCCCCCGGACACCCCAGGCCCCCCCTTCCCCCACGGCATCACCCCCCGAGGTGACAGTGACCCCAGGGGGGAGAGGGGTTGGATCCGATCCCTTCCCGCTCCAGAGACCCCCTTCCTGCATCCATGGGAGCTCCAGAGTGGGAAGGAGGAGGGTCAGGAGCCCACAAGGGATGGAGGAGGGTCTGCTCATCCCACATCCCACATTACCGGAGTGGGGGGTGAGCCCCCCGGGGTGGGATCTGGGCTCTGCGGATCCCGAGGGATTTTCCAGCGGGATTTTCCAGCAGGCACCTCGTCCATGCCAAGGCCAGCCTGGAGATCCCAGCCCAGAGCTCAAGGCCGGGGAAGGAGTCACAGCACAGCCAGAGATAAATGGGATCCCAGGAAAACCCCGGGCAGGGGCCTCATCTCGAGAGAGGGAATGGGGAAGGAGAGATTCCCTGATCCCAAAGCACAAGGAAAGGGGGTTTCCCTGTTCCCAATCCACAGGGAAGGAGAGTTTCCCCCATCTAAATCCATACAAATTGCCTTCCCTTCGGAGCTGGGCAGATCCAAGCCCTGGACAAATCCCAGGGAAAGAGAAGCTGAAGCCCAAAAAAACCAGCTGGGAATCAGGAAACGCCAAATTCCTGAGCTTAAAACCACAGGGATCCAGATCCAGTCGGGGAAAAAAGAAGGAAAACCACCCAAAAAAGCAGAAGCTTTAGGCAGCAGCTGGAGAGATTAGTGTCTGGGGCTTAAGGGATCGGGATCGGGATCCTGCTCCGAGCCAGGATCCCACAGGGAGCCTGGAATCTGGGAATAGCTCAGGAATAGCTGGGAACAACTCCAGGAATCCCGGAGCAAAGCCTGGGGGGCTGTGGAGCCACTCCTGGGGCTGTAGGGAACGGATCCCGGAGGAATCAGCCCGAGCAGGGATCATTCCTCCGGGAAGGAATTCCCTGAGGAATTGTCCAAGGAAGAGATTAAGGGCTGAATTCCCGGAGGAGTCATTCCAGGAGGGATCAGGACAGTCCCACTGCACATTAACCAGTTGTTTGCTCTGCAAACACGGCCAAAGCCATTCCCAAAGAAGCACAGGGGAGGCTCCAGCCTATTCCCACACTCTCCTGGAATGGTCCAGCCTATTCCCAAACTCTCCTGGGATGCACAAGAGACTCCAGCCCATTCCCAAACTCTCCTGGGATGACACAAAACTCCAGCTCATTCTCAAATTCTCTTGGGATGCTCCAGCCCATTCCCAAACTCTCCAGAGATGCACAGAGGAGGCCCTCATTCCCAAAATCCCTGCAGATGGAAGCACAGCAGAGGCTCCAGCCCATTCCCAAACTCTCCTGGGATGTCTCCATCATCCCAGCAGTGACATCCCAGATCTCAGATCCCCTCAGAGCCAGGGCTCTCCCACCCCAAAATTCCCAGTTTTTAAAGCCCTGCTGGCTTTTCCCTGGGTTTTCTCTTCCCTGCCCCCTGGAAGAGCCTGTCCGTGTCTCCCTGGATCCCGCACTCCACCCTCTCACTCATCCATCTGAAGGCTCTGCCGGGAATGACCTAAATGCACCAAATCCTGGGATAACAGACACACAATTCCCAACCGGCTCCTCCTGAGGCTTCCCCTGCCTAGGAAACCACGTCCTGGAGCATTCCTAGCCTTCCCAATCTCCCAAGGTCCCTCCCAACAGCCCACGGAGACAACATTCCACCTTCCTGGAGCTGCTGGGTGGGAGTTATCCCAGATCCTGTCCCAAATCCCACCCCAGCTCCCATCCCAGCTCTGATCCCAGATCCCATCCCTTATCCCAACACTGCAATTCCCAGATTCCAACCAGGCTCAATCTCAGCATCTCCTAGGATGCAGCATCCACAGGATTCCACAGGATCCCACAGGATCCAGGGAGGATCCCGAGGGTCTCCAGGGACAGGGACAGACCCTGGAGCCCTCTGGAGGGGACAGCAGGTCCCGGATCTGTGGGATCAGGGATCCTTTTCGCACCCCAATTCCAGGACCTGGGATCCCCCCTGGACCCCTCTAACTCTCCCAAAAACCTTCTCATCTCCCCTGGACTCCTCTAACGCTCCCAAGAACCTTCCCATCCCCCTCCCAGACCCAAACTCTACCCCCCCCCCAAACTCTTCACAGCTCCCCTGGTCCCCTTCAACTTCCCTCTCCCCAAACCCTCATAGCTCCCTCGGGCCCCTTTAGCCCCCTCCCTAAACCCTTCAGAGCCTCCCTGGTCCCCTCTAACCTCTCAACCTTCCCATCCCCCCCCGACCCCTCAACCTCCCCCAAATTCTCCCCCCTCACTGCCCACAGCCCCCCCGGCCCCTCACGACCCCTCAATCCCGGACCCCCCCGACCCCTCACGACCCTTCTGGCTCCACCAACCCCTCACCGCGAGCCCCCCCCGGCTCATCACGACCCTCCCCGTTCCCTCACGACCCCTCAATACCCCCCATCATCCCCTCAGGGCCCTCCCGCCCCGCGGCGCATCCGGTAGGGCGGCCCGTCGCTCACCCGTGTGGAGCAGATCTCCATCATAACCTCCTCGAAGGCCGCGGTCTCCTCCGCCTGCCTCTGCTTCTGCAGCGCGATCTTCTCGCTGAACTTGCGCGGGTTCGAGGCCCCCGCGCCAGCCGAGGGCCCCGCGCCGGGCCCGGGCCCGGCCCCCGCGCCCGCCGCCGCCATCTTCCCCGCTCCGCCGCTCCGCCGCAGACGCAGCGCGGGGTGCGCCGGGACTTGAAGTTCGGCGGGCAGAACCCGCAACGGGAAAGAAGAGAGTCAAGACTACAACTCCCAGAAACAAGGAAAGAGCGCCGCGAGGGGCGACGGGGAATGAAGGCGCCGGGGTGCAGTGTGTAGGGTGGAGAGGGAAGAGGGGACTGCGAGTCCCAGAGTGCACCGCGAAGGTAAAGGAAGTGGGGCGGGGAAAGAAGAGGGGTCAGAAGAACGGGCGGGGCCTGGAGGGGCTCTGGAAAGGGGGGGAAAAAGAGAACTGGGGGGAAAAAGGGAATTAGAAAGGCACAGAGATGGGGACCGAGGGAACGGGGGAAAAGGGAAGGGTGTGGGAATAAGGGAATAGGGAGAAAAAGGGAATAGGAAGAAACGGCAATGGCACTAGTTCGCTCGCAAGAGTGCTGTGCTGAAATTGGCTCTCCGATTGCCAGAATTGAATATGGATGAAGATTCCTCCCAGACCAAAGGTGCCCGCGCAGAAAGGTCTTGCTGTGCACGTACTGCTGAGAGTGGCGCACCAACTGCACTCAGACATGATTACATATTCAAGTGAGTTCACATGCAATTAAAATCTCAGTACCCCCCTGGTCAGCACCACACTTCGCCTCAGATGTACATAACACCATAAACCACCTTAAAAAATAAAACTAATTATCGAAACAACAGAATAAATGGATACATGAAAATGGAGGTAAGCTGTTAGACAATGGGTGGGGTCAACTAAAAACAGGTCAGTTAATATTACCAGAAAAATTAGTGCAGCAATTTATAAAAGCAGAACATGATAAAACTCACTGGGGTTTGGGCTCACTCTATCAGCATTTAAGGACCAGAGTGGCAGGACCGAATTTATTTACCACAATAAAGCAAGTCACATCCCAATGTGAACTTTGTCTGAAAATTAACCTAAATATTGGAAAAAAAATACACCAAGGGGCAATAAGCAAAGGGCATTTCCCAGGTGAAATTTGGCAAACTGATTTCTCTGAGCTCCCAAGAAAAGGGGGGGGTTCTGTTATCTCTTAGTTTTGACTGACACATTTTCTG